AGTGGCAGAGAGAAACTCATGTCTCTTTTCTCTCTTCTAATTTTCAGTATAACCAAAAATTATCCCAGAATGAGCAAGGGCATGTACCCCTCACACCATTCCACCCTCGTTCCAGCAAGAATGGGATGGGCACAACTGAATTGGGGTCATCCTTTACTGCTCCCTTCTACACTCAGCTCCCAGACGTAGGGTAAGAGGAGGTACTCCTCCTGGCTACTGCAGAGACCCCTGGCTATTTGGGTAACCTAGGATTAGTAAGAAGGGACAGGAGGAGATACAAGTCCACTGCAAGTGGAGGTCTCTTTCTACAAGAGTTTTCTGCCTGAGGCCACAGCCATCCCACTCTCTGCTTCCTTGAGATTCAAACCAAAGGCTGTTTTTCTATGTTTAAAGAAAAAAAAAAACTAAAAACCAAACACAACACCTCACAAGTTGTAACTCTTGGTCCTTCTCTCCTTTTCTCTTCCCTTCTATCTTTCTTTCCACATGTCCTTTCCTTATTGGCTCTTTTGCCTCCTACTTTTCTCACTCCCTATCAGGGATATTTTGGGGGGATGGTAAAGGGTGGGCTAAGGAACAGACCCTGGGACTGGGGCTCTTAAGGGCTCTAAGAGGAGTCTACCTTCCCTTCTTATGGGAAGGGAGACCCTAAAAAACTTTATCCTCTTCTTCCCTTTTTTCTTCCCCATTACATGGTTTCCCCAAGAGAACCAGATTGGCGGGGAGAGGCATCGTGGGGTGATTGTTCCTCCTTGACAACGTAGCAATAAGTAGATGCTGCCAAGCTCAGAGGCTGGGGAAGTTAGCTTAGAGAAGAGTGGTCTCTAGAGAAGGGAAGAATCTTCTCAACAGCACCCCAGGGTATTAGCTCCTTGTTTCAGGATGGCAGCAGAACTGAGATTAGTATCTGGGCTTTTCCTGAACTATTCTGGTTATTGAGCCCCTTCCCATTAGACCTACCCCTTCCCGCCTCTTCTGTGTCTGCTGTGTATTTGGTGACACTTCAAAAGGACTAGTCCCCTTTGGGGTATCAGAGCCTTAGGGTGCCCCCATCTCCTCCCCCAGTCAGCTTTGGCACCTGTAACCTCCCGGAACATGAAGGACTATGCTCTGAGGCTATACTCTGTGCCCATGAGAGCAGAGACTGGAAGGGCAAGACCAGGTGCTAAGGAGGGGAGAGAGGGGCATCCTGTCTCTCTCCAGACCATCACTGCACTTTAACCAGGGTCTTAGGTACAAAATCCTACTTTTCAGAGCCTTCCAGCTCTGGAACCTCAAACATCCTCGTGCTCTCTCCCAACTTCTTTTGCATAAAAAAAAAAAGTAAAGAAAAAGAAAACACACACACACATACACACACTGAAACCCACATGGAGAAAAGAGGTGTTTCCTTTTATATTGCTATTCAAAATCAATACCACACACACAAAAATTTCTAAATGAACACTTTTTCAGACCTTTTTTTTTGTGTGTCAGTGTCCAGGCTGCAGATAGGATTTTGTAATACTTCTGGCAGCTTCTTTCCTTGTGTACATAATATATATATATATATTTTTAATCAGAAGTTATGAAGAACAAAAAGAAAAAAAATAAAACACAGAAGCAAGTGCAATACCACCTCTCTTCTACCTGTCCTAGGGTTTCATTTGTACCGTATGTCTAGTGTCTCCTTTGACCCTTACCTCTTCACCTCCTCCTCTCTTCCTCTGGTTACGCCTCCTCCTTTTTTTTGTTTTAAGAGTTTTTCTCCTTTCTCAAGGGGGAGTTAAACTAGCTTTTGAAACTTATTGCAAAGCATTTTATATATGTAATATATTGTAAGTAAATATTTGTGTAATGGAGATATACTACTGTAAGTTTTGTACTGTACTGGCTGAAGGTCTGTTATAAATAAACATGAGTAATTTAACACCCCTGGTTGTTTCTGCAGACTTCCTTTGCCTTTCATTTCTACTGGGAGGGAGGAGGGAGGCCTCCTTACAGTATGTTGTACCAAATACTAAACAGTTTAGAAGGTGAACAAGTCTTAAGATCCAGAGGAAACCAACTAACAATGCTCAAATTGTTGCTGCAAAACAGAAGAATCTTCAGCCTAGAATGGGAAGTGGAGGAGATTTTCCTACCAGGAGTGCTTTAGGACAGCAGAGAAAGCCTAACTTGCGTATCTATCCAAAGCAGAAATTCATCAAACATTTGTTGAGTAACTACTATGTGCAAAACACATTATATGCCCAGGGAGATAATAAGTGACAATACTGTGAGTGATGCAAATGATACGATCTACCACTTCTTGAGCATCTCATAAATGCTAAGCACTGTGCCAAGTATTTATTGAGTTGTACAAACACCTACGAAAGAATGATCACAATTATGGTGAAGAAATAAAAGCCCAAGAGAGAATAAATACTTTGTCTAAGGTCATCAGCGAGTAAGACAGGACCAGAATTTGAACCCAGGAGTGTGTGAGTCCAAAACCTGTGCCCATCCCTTTAAGGTAAGGAATGTAGCCAGTGAAACCCCCAGGCTATAAAAATCCAAAGTAGAAACATCAACTTTGTTCTGTCTTAAATATTAATGATTTTCTGTCCCCTTCACTTTGAACTTTTTTCTGTTCTCTTCCATCTACCTCATCATTATTCCATATAATAATGTCTATCTTTTGTTCATGAGACTACATCAAGTGAAAATTGGAGGCACTCCTATCTAGAATCTATTACTTTCCATGTCCCATTGAAACTAACAAATTCAATGTCAAAAGAGACAGTGAAGCTGGACCTGTAGTCCCAGCTACTGGGGAGGATCATTTGAGGCCAGGAGTTTGAGACCAGCTTGGGCAACATAGTGAGACCTCCCATCTCGAAAATAATTAATTAATTAATTAAAAAATTTAAAAAAGACAGTGAATATAGTTGCTCTGACTTCTAAACAAAAGAAAATATATTTTAGCCCCAATAAATGTTAAGAGAAACCATGATGGAAAGGAAGTGAATCTGGAGTTTTCAGACTCTAGAATGATGCATAAATGAACCATTGGTTTGCATCTGTATCATCATGGGAGGCCCCCTTGCCACTCTAATGTCTGAATGCTAGGGGGCCCCTTTGCTACGTTAATATATTTAACTCTGGAGACAACAGGGTTGTTGGCTGCCCATGGATAACCAACCACTCCTGCCCAATGCTCAAGCCTTCCTGATGGCTCTTCAGAGGGAAATGGAGCTCATACATAAGAAAGAGTGTTTCAGTCAGAGTTCAGACTCACTAGTGAGTAGTGAAATCACTTTAGTAGTTCTTGATCAGAGTTTCTTAAAATAAAAAAAGATACTAGAACATACCAATATATTTTATATTGTAAGGGTGTTTTTTCATGAAACTTGTGTTTCAGCTTTGTATTTGTGTATACCTGTGTTTGCGTGTGTATTGGGTACCAACGTAAAATGTATTTGTGCTATGTGTCTGGGTCAAAAACGTTTAAGTCACTGGTCCAGGCTATACCTCTATCCATTCGTTGGTTAGGTGAGAAGCACCATAGTACAGCAGAACCAGAACACCTCTTACTAGCTCTGTGTGACCTTGGGTAAGTTATGTAACCACTCTGCACCTCAATTTTTCAATCTTTAACACACTGACTGCCACACTAGAAAAAAAGGTTTTTCCCTGGGGCCACAGTGTTTTATTAAAATGATCCTCTCTGATTTGTTACTTTTTACTGTTTTCTGTGCGTGAGTTATATACAACACAATCCATGTTTTCATAAATAAATTGTAGGCCGGGCACGGTGGCTCACACCTGTAATCCTACCACTCTGGGAAGCGGAGGTGGGAGGATTGCTTGAGCTCAGGAGTTCGAGACCAACCTGAGCAAGACAAGAGCGAGACCCCGTCTCTACTATAAATAGAAAGAAATTAGCCAAACAACTAAAAATAGAAAAAATTAGCCGGGCACAGTGGCACATGCCTGTAGTCGCAGCTACCTGGGAGGCAAAGGCAGAAGGATGGCTTGAGCCCAGGAGTTTGAAGTTGCTGTGAGCTAGACTGACGCCACGGCACTGTAGCCCGGGCGACAGAGCAAGACTCTCTCAACAAAAAAAAAACAACAACAACAAAAAAAATAGAATTAAATTGTCAATATTAATTGTAACAATAAGCATAACAACAAGTAAGACTTTCACGAACCAACTGCAGGGTTTTGCTTCACGCGGCCCAGGGCTCAAAACTAGCGTGAGTTAAATACAACTCACACGGCAGTCAATGTGTTTAAGCGAGGATAATAATAGTACCTACCTCATAGGTTTGCTGACAGTTAAATGAGTTAATATTTATAATGGCTTACTACAGTGCTTGGCACTGTGCTAACAGGATCCAGGGATAAACAGGTGAATGAGAACCAGCCCCAGCACCAACGCACTTGTCCATGGCCCCTCATCGTGAGGTTTTCTCCATACTGGAAGAAGGAATTCACAAAATATTTGTGTCCTCTCAGGTTTTCCTCTTCACATCCCTCCCTATACCTAGTAGCAGGATTGTGAGAGAAATGAATCGAGGGCGTCCCTCGGTGGCGTAGCGCCATCTTCGGTTTAAAGACTTGGGGCCAGGGGCCTCTCGGCTTCACACTACAATTCCCACCAAGCATCTGCCCTTCTCTGGCCTCTAACGTAGAGCGCGACTTGTGGTCCAACGCCGGGCAACTTCCGCCCCTAGCGCCCAGTAAACCGGAAATTAGAGCCCGCAATTATGTCCGGAGTAGGGCGCCGCGATGCTTGCTGGGAGACGTATAACTCTAATTTTCTTCCGCCAGCAGGCTAAATAGTCCCACGGGCATTTTGTTCTACGGATAAATAAATTCTAGGAACGCCTTTCCACCATAGATTTCAGTATAAATGCTGAATAATAACGAAAATTTACTTTAGCGGGTTGTAGTCCTTGACACCCGTCTCCTAAGGATTCTTCTGATGTGAGCGTAGGGGTCTCGTGCTATATAAGGAGACCCGGCGGCTCGCCGGATCCTTTTTCGCGTCCTCGCTTCCAAGATGGTGAGTAGCGGCTCGTGGTGAGCGCGGCGGACTGAGTGGTGGCTGAGAAGAGCAGGTTTTGGGAGTGTGGGGATTTGAGAGCCTAATGGGCAGAGTGTACGTACGCTTTTGGGCTTGAAGACTTTTGCGGAGAAACAGGAGATCTAAGTGGCGCCTTTCTCGGGGGCGACCGGCGCGGCATGTAGCCGGAAGGGCGCTGAGGCTGGGTAAGGTGCACTCCTTTCCTAACAGGATCTCCATCCTGATACAGACAAAGAAAAGAAGGAACAACGGTCGTGCCAAAAAGGGCCGTGGCCATGTGCAGCCTATTCGCTGCACGAACTGCGCCCGATGCGTGCCTAAAGACAAGGCCATAAAGAAGTTCGTCATTCGGAACATAGTGGAGGCCGCAGCTGTCAGGGACATTTCTGAAGCGAGTGTCTTCGATGGTAAGTGAGCCATCGGCGCTAAGTGTGTAAGGATCCTAGTACCTAAAACCCTTTCCCCAACCTTGCCTTTCTGCAGGCTGTGTTTGTTGGAGCGTCTCAGACAATTTCCACGTATCTTGAAGGTTTTGCTTAGAAGAAAAGTGCATATGATACCTAATGTTAAATCTTTGTGTTCTCTTTCTCAGCCTACGTGCTTCCCAAGCTGTACGTGAAGCTACATTACTGTGTGAGTTGTGCCATTCACAGCAAGGTAGTCAGGAATCGTTCTCGGGAAGCCCGCAAGGACCGAACACCCCCACCCCGATTTAGACCTGCGGTGAGTATTGAAAATAGGAGTATGTGGAAGCCAGGGGGTAATGGCTAAAAACATTTTGTCCTCTCTGTGGAGGTGGCTCATGCCTGTAATCCTAGCAGTCTGGGAGGCCGAGGCAGGAGGATCATTTGAGGTCAGGAGTTCAAGACCAGCCTAAGCAAGAGTGAGACCCCATTTCTACTAAAAGTAGAAAAAATTCCCCAGGCGTGGTGGCATGTGCCTGTAGTCCCAGCTACACGAGAGGCTGAGGCAGGAGAATCCCTTGAGCCCAGGAGTTTGCGGTTGCTGTGAGCTAGGCTGACCCATGGCACTCTAGCCCAGGGCAACAGAGCGAGACTCGGCCTCAAAATAATTATAAATGAAAGTAAATAAAAGTTGACAAATAAAATTAATGTAAAAATTAAAAATGTTAAGAGGAAGTAGCTGCTAAAAGAAAAAATAGGAAATAAAAAATTTTTCCTCTTGTGACACAAGGAATGTCAAATTAAGTTCTCTGCCTAAGGTTAAGCTCTTAAGGCAGGTGAGACCTACGATAAGACATTTTCCTAGAGATACTCCTAAAAAATTGTTAGAATCTGAAGTAGTAATCTCCTCCTCCATCTATCAGCTTTATGTGCATTTATAGAATATATTGTTAGAGGATGGTGGTCAAGTTCTGGGGGTGGGAGGGGGTTCTTAAATTCATTGGTTTTAATTAACTCTATTACTCCTCTGTCTTTCAGGGTGCTGCCCCAAGACCTCCACCAAAGCCTATGTAAGGAGTTGAGTCCTTGAGGACTGAAGAAAAACTATCCATTGGAAAAAAATAAAATGGAAATTATACTTAATATAGCATGTTGAATATGTCTGTGCCAGATAGAGTGGGAGTTTGTGTTACACCAGGTGTTCAAATGTGAATTGTCACATAATATTTTCCTTGGAAAGAAAGCTAACCTGTGTTTAACTCTTGCAGTCTTATCCTTGGCCTCCCCAATTTGCATAGCTTTGTGGGAAAAGGAGGGAGGGGAGGCGTCTGAGTGTTGGGTGAATTCAACGTGGCCAAATTTAAGTTGGCATCCTAAAAATGGATGAAGATCTCTAGGCGAGCAAGGGAAAACTGAACATTGTTAGTGAGGGGCACATTGGGAAGTGACTTAGACTGCGGTGTTCATACCTTTGGTCGGTGACTTTAGAAGTGCACACTTGGATAGCTTCACAGCTGTTCCAGGATTCATAGATCTTCAACCTCCTACCTTGTAATTGGTCTGCTGGTAAGCCAGTTACTCAATGTGCATCTTTCTGTAGTGCATTTGTGGGAATCCCTTCAGAGGATGGAGAAAGGATATACTTTATTTCATCTGTGTGACAATGGTTTGTTTGTACTATAAATCAGAAATAAAAAATTCAGGGGCATATATTTTATGTGTTTCTGAAAAATCCATTTGGGGAGTGGGTTGTTATGGACTGACTTTGCCAATTAGGTTATACATTTTTCCTAAGTTAAACCAGTAGCGTGGACAGTAGCGTGGAGATGTTGATAACATACCTTGTGCTAAAAAGTGTATTCTTTGGAAGTGTATTCAAAGGAATATGATAACAAGGAAAGGGTAGATTATTTCAGAGCATGGGGATAGTCCTGTTAATTGGAAAATTCTTTGTACCTCCCCCCAAAAAAACCCAGACAGGAACTGCCAACCCTGACTTGCAGGTGAGTGTACCACTGCGTGTGTTAGATTAGCAGTGGCAAATCCTGAATTTGTCAGGACACTGAATGTAGACAAGAGTGTCTGCATCCTTTGTGGAAGCTCATAAGGCAGATCTGTGCACCTTTGTTCCTCTACACTATAATGACCCCTTTCCACCAAGGGTAAATAAACATTAATGGAATGAAATCGGAGGTTCAGGGTAAAAGTGAATGCTAAACCTGGTGGTTGGTCCCTGATTTCATTTTGCTCAGTAAAACCAGATTGAGATAGTACATTGAGGCCAGCCATAGTGGATCATGCCTGTAATCCCAGCATTTTTGGAGGCTGAGGTAGAAGAATACCTAGAGGCCAGGATTTCTAAGACCAGCCTGGGCAACATAGCAAGACCCCATCAATAAAAAAAATTTTTTAAATATCCAGCTATGGCTGGCTGCGCTGCAGTGGCTCATACCTGTGAACCTTCCACTTTGGGAGACCAAGGTGGGAGGATTGCTTCAGTCCAGGAGTTTGAGGTTGCAGTGAGCTATGGTGACATTTTTTATTACCCCTAAAAGAAACACCATACCCTTAAACAGTCACTCCAATCTCCTAGTCCAGTGGTCCCCAGCCTTTTTGGCACAAGGGACCAGTTTCATGGAAGACAATTTTTCCATGGAAGGGGTGCGGGGGGAAATGGTTTCAAAATGATTCAAGTGCATTACATTCATTGTGTACTTTATTATTACATTGTAATATAAATAAATAAAATAATTCTATGACTCACCATAATGCTGAATCATTAGGATCCCTGAACTTGTTTTCCTGCAACTAGAGGATCCCATCTGTATTTGCAGCGGTTCCCGGCACCAGCATCACCACCTCAGATCATCAGGCGTTAGATTCTCATAAGGAGCGTGCAACCTAGGAACCTCCTATGAGCGGTTTACAATAGGGTTCCCTATCCTATGAGAATCTAATGCCACCACTGATCTAACAGGAGGCGGAGCTCAGGCAGTGATGTGAACCATAGAGAACAGCTTCACTCACCTGCTGCTCACCTGCTGTGCAGCCTGGTTCCTAATAGGCCACGGACCAATACTGGTCTGTGGCCCAGGTTTGGGAACTGCAGTCCTAGTTAACCTATAGACTTGCCTATTCTGGGCACTTCATGTTAGTCTGATGATACAATGTGATCTTTTGTGACTAGATTCTTTCACTTAGCATGTTTTCAAGGTTCAACCATGTAGCAGTACTCCATTGCTTTTTAAGGCTGAATAGTATTCCATTTTTGACTGTTAAGAATAATGCTGCTATGAACATTCATGTACAGGTTTTTTTTGTGGACACGTTTTCAGTTCTTTTGGGTATATACCCAGGAGTAGAATAGCTGGGTCACGTGGTAACTGTTTAACTTTTTGAGGAACTACTAGATTATTTTCCAAAGTGGCTGCTCCATTTTACATTACCACCAGCAGTCCATAAGTGTTGCAACTTCTCTACATCATTGCCAACACTTACCATCTGTCTTTTTAATTATAGCTATCCTAGTGGATGTGAAGTGGTATCTCATTGTTTAACATTACACTTTCAGTCCAGAGTCTTTGCCAGGGTCTGCAAGACCCCAGGTGATCTAGACCTATCTTCTTTAACTTTGTGTACCACAGGTAAACAACCGGAACTCATGGCAGCAAACTTGACATGAACTCATGTTAAGTGATTTATAATCTCTATTACACTTAACATGACTATTCTTATATTTTGCTGCAGAAATATTAATGTGTTTGATCCTTGGTGCTGCTTCAGATTCCTTTGAGGATGTTATATATTAAATAAAATATGTACCATATTGCTGTTCTAAAATAGAAAACCAATTTCAAAGCAAATAATGCCCCAAAGATATATAAAGGATCATAGATCTGAATCACTGTCCCCCCAGCTCACTTGAACTTAGCCATAGCCACTGCCTTGCTTTTTCTGTAACATGACATCCAGGCATGCTCCTGCCTCAGAGCATTTGCACTTGCTATTTCCTATGCTGAAAAGCTCTTTCCCCATTTATCAAAATGGCCTGCTCCTTTACTTTCTTTAGGTTTCTGATCAAATATCGGCAATCAAACTTATCAAGAGGCCACCCTATATAAAATTGTAGCCCATCATTACACCAGGTCACTCCCTTAGACTGCTTCCCCACTAAAATGTAAGCTTCATGAGACCAGGGTCTTGTTTCGGTCACTGTTACTGTCCTCAACACTTAGAAGTATCTAGCACATAATAGGTACTCAAATAAATTGGATAAATTGTTTGCATCCTTAAACCTCACCAAAATACTATGAAATAGGAATGACTTCTAAAAATTAGAAAATTGAAGAGAGAGGTAACTCACCCAAGGTCACACAGCTAGAAGCAGCACAGGTGGAATTTACATCTAAAATTGCCCTTTTAGGTTCTTAATCAGCTGGCTCTGTGTAACAGAGGTCTTGGACTCAAAAAAAGTACCAAGCATATAGGCAATCAATATTGAAAAATAGATGAATCTACATTCTAGCTCCAGTTCTTTGCATTTATTGGCTCAGTCTCCTTCAATAAGCATATTAGCTTGTTAACGCACAAGAAATGGACACATTTATATACCTATTAGTTACCTACCAAAAGAATAAACTAAATGTGCAAACTAAAGAGTCATGACATTAACCTAAATAGTATGATAGGCAGTGAATTTGTTCCTCATACATTGCCAAGTGTTGGAGAGGTAGGCAAAGAAAAATGAAAATCCAGACTATAGGGTTGGGGGAAATGGGTAGTCCAGGACCTCAACAAATCATTTTCCAACCAGGCACAGTAGCTCATGTCTGTATTCCCAGCACTTTGGGAGGCTGAGGAGGGAGGATCACTTGAGGCCAGGAGTTCAGAACCAGTGTGGACAACATAGTGAGACCCTGTCTCTACAAAAAAATTTTTTAAAAGTTAGCATTGCAGGAAGGGCGGCAGCAGAGAATACGGACGCCGCCCCAGGAGCGGGAGCTGTCCTATCCTATCCCCTCCTCTTACACTTCGCCTTGCAACCAATAAAGGCCGTTTCTACTGTAAAAAAAAAAAAAGTTAGGTGGTGCATGCCTATAGTCCTAGCTACTCAAGAGGCTGAGGTGGGAGGATTGCTTGAAACCAGTTCGAAGTTACAGTGAGCTATGAGTGAAGCTACAGTGAGCACCCTAGCCTGGGTGACAGAGCGAGCGACACCCTGTCTCCAAAAAATAAAAAAAAAAATAGAGAAACAAACAATAATGATGTCAACAGAAAAAGAGACCAAACTCTGTAAAAATAATTTTAAAGAGATTTACTCTGAGCCAAATTTGAGGGCCATGACCCGGAGCCACGCCCAAGAGGTCATGAGCAGTGGACTTGGTGTGGCTGGATTACAATTTGGTTTTATACATTTCAGGGAGACAGGGATTACAGGTAAAGTCATAAATCAATATATGGGAGGCATACATTGGTTTGGCCCAAAAAGGTGGGCCATCTCGAAGTGGGGGCTTACAGGTTATAGGTGGGTTTAAAGATTCTTTGACTTGTAATTGGTTAAAGACATGAAGCTCTGTCTAAAGGCTTGGAATGTTTTAACATAAGGAGCTGTTTATCAGAGATAAGCCATGGGACATAGATTTGTCGTGTAAATTGAGGACCTGCAGGCTTGTCTTGCATACCCTTAGGCCTGTCATTGGGTTATAAAGGATGTCCCCAAGAAGGGAGGGGGGCATGATAAGGCATGTCTGACCTCCTTCCTCCTGGCAGGCAATTTAGTTTTAGGATATTCCTTTGGCCACGAGGGGGTCCATTTAGTCAGCCAGTGGGGGGAGTGAGCCTTAAAATTTTATTTTAATTCACAATGATAATAATAAAACTACATAGGTTTTAAATTAAAAAGAAAAATTTATGTACCAACCAAAGTCATCCTGCAAACACCCATAGGAAATGTCTCCTGAGCTGTAAACTCATGAAGTTAGGAACAGTGTCTGGTTGGTCAATTACATTGCCTGACATAAAGCAGCTGGTCAACATTCGTGAATGAATAAATATACTCTGACTATGGAAAAGTTAGAAATGAATGAATAATCTCTTTTAGAATTGCCTATGCTATTTAAATAAAATACAGAGTTCTAAGCTAC